CTTTCTTGTGTTAAGTCAGCGATCTACCAAAAACCTCTCTCAGATTCATATCTCTTTGCTCAGCTATTATTTCCAGCTCAGCCTTATTTCATGTGGATTAAAAATAAGATGCCCCATGAATAATTATTTCCAAGATGTTCATTAGTCCTTGCACTACTGTTCTCATTCTACCCTAAGATCCACTATCAATGTCTTGCATCACTGCATATACACTTTCCACCTTTCTATTTATTCAAACTCTCCTGGTCCTCAGTTCAGCTCATTCTTTGCCTCATTTGAATGTTAGCAAAACCTTTATTTCTTCCTTTCAGGTTTTAAGGATCACAAGCTGCGACAATTCTTGAATACCAATGCACTTCTGGCTCCTTCTCTGCCTGCAACCATATTTTTCTTCAAATCTCACACCTTGCTGTATATTCACTAACCCCTCTCTGACCCTCAAGAACCAGTCCTGAGTAGATCACAGGTTCATCCCCTTGGCTCCCTCCAACTTAATGAATTTGACCTCAAAGGGGCACCAACACTCTACCATCAAATTCAATGTCATGACCACTTCTTCTACCAGGAGACTTCCACCTTTCCACTGCATCAGACCTTTCTTATGGCTTCAAAATTCTTCTATCAACCTAGATATATCTGTTTGGGCTTTACTTCTGGATCCTTTGATTAAGAACTGCTGATGAGTCATTGGCTATCTCAATCTTTCTGCTTCCCTCACTCTTTCTAAACTGTCTCTCTCTGAATTTGCATCATTCAATTCTCTCAAGTCCAAACCTAATAATGTTATTAAACCCACTAACAAGGTAGATCTGTTGCGGTTTTGAGAACCAACTTTGACATAGTGGAAGACGAAATCAAACTCTCTGTCACCTCTTCCTACCTCCCTGGGAACATGACTCACCACCAAACATTGTTTCCAGGACTGTTCCTGATGTTTTATCTTTGTTGCAGATTTTTCCTCCATAGCTGTCAATTACCAGGCCCCTCATCCTGAAGTTTAATTTCACTTTGTTCCCAAGCTCCACAAACAGGATTGCCCATTCTTTCAACATACTCTTGCCCCATAGAGCTGACTGCATCTTAGCATGATTCTATTCTTCTCCCCTCTCGTTCAGTCTCCTCTCACCTTTATTCACAACTCTTCCAACTCCCCTGCCATTTTCTCAGTTTCCAAATGCCTTGCCCTCTCCTTTTCTCCAATATTCAATCTCAATACAACACCATTCTCCACCAGGTCACCTTGAATCATTTTCATTTTTTTTTGAACAGAGACCCTAAACTATTCCCATCCACCACCATCCTCCTCCCACAGGCTGAAAATTGAACAATTCCTGCTTTGAATCCACTCAGTTCGCACAAATAAAAGCTGTTGCTATGGGAACCCATATGCTATGCTATGCTTGCCTTTTTCTGGGACAAATGAAACATTCTTTGTCCCGATCTAATTCATTTCCACTATTTCACCACTTTTTCGGTACTTTGGTGCTATTTCTGGTTCTCACCACTAACTGAGACATTTAATCAACTTTGATTTCAATTTCCGATATTTCCTCATCTTAGTATAGTCCATCTCCAACTCATCCTTTCCCTTTCTGATTTCTCTCAATTCATTTCTGGGGATGGACAATTGATCACTACATAGAGCAAGTTTATCGAATCCCATGGCTACCCTGACTACACTTCCTCCCACCTCATTCTTGTAAAAATGCTGTTTCATTCTCGGGATCATCTTCTACTGATGCTATTTTCAATACCAGTGCTTCCAATATGTCTTCTGCTTTCCTCAACTATGAATTCCCTACTACAGCACCTCATCCAACTCAGCAGCCCTCAGAGATTATCGTCTGCCATTTCTGGCATTTCCAATAAGCGGTCATCACCAAACACATCTTTCCCTTCCGTCCTCACTGAGCATTACAAAAAGAACACCCTCTCTGTAACACCCTGAGCCATTCCTCAATTATCCTATTCTTTCTCAAAGCTAGCATGGAAATTGCAATTCCTGCCTTTTTACCTCCTTTACCATTATCCTTTGAGGTAAAACAGCAATTTACTTGTACTTTCTTTATTTAGCATACCGTATTCACTCCTCATGATGTGTACTCCTGTAAGCTGAGAAGAACAAGTGCAGAACAGGTGACCACTTTGTCAAACACCTTTGTTAATCCACAAACGTCAACTCCAACTTCCAATCATTGTAATTTTCTGCCCAATCCCACTCTGATTTTTCAGTGTTTGGTCTCGTACACTTTACAATGGAGCTTAACGTAAGCCTGCGAAATAATGTATTTCTGTCAGACTTCTAGCGTCTGGACTCAACACTGAGCTCAACATTTTAGGTAATGACTCCTGGCCCCACTTTTTGTTTTGATGTCAGCTGTTAGCAATGATTTTGATTTTCTCACTTATGTGTACTCTAGACTCACATTTTGTTTTACTACTGGTCCCATAGCCATCTCCTTTTGCCTTCAAGCACTACTTTAGTTATTCAATATTTTCTGCCTTCCACCCGATCAAAATCCTTCCTTTTTGTTCCTCCCCTCTCCCTTTACTTCTGTACTTGCTTAAGGCCTGTTACGTCTCTAAACTTTTACCATTTTCTATTCAAAAGGTCACTGCCTTGAAATGTTAATTCTCCACCAATGCTACCTGACATGCTAAATATTTTCATCATTTTCTTTTTTGTTTCACATTTCTACCACACACAGTATTTGGTATTTTGCATAAGAATTAAATGTATTGTAGGTTAAGAGACTGCCAATTCAATTCAGAAAAAGGCAAACTTATGATTGATATTAGGAAGTTTTTCATCATAGAAAGAACGATTAACAAATAGAATGGATAAAGTATTGAGGAGACAAGCTTGGAATGATCCAAAGGCCAGTTGGATTTGCAATGGAAGTATTTTTGAATGATTCTAGAAAGCAGAACAGGGATAGGTCAAACAGTACTCAGCATCCATGATAATCTTCTGAATAGGTGATCTACCTGGATCCATTTCATCTATTAACCAAAGTTTACTTTTACTTTAAAGTGTCAGCCTTGGCTCATTTGGTAGTTAAAGTCCCATTCCAGAGACTTTGCATAAATGATCCATACTAATGATGCAATACTGAGATTGTACTGAAAAGTATTTTAGATCAGACATTAAACTGATGCTCTGCCTGTCCTTTCAAGTGGACACACAAGGTCACATGACAATTCTTGAAATGAGAAATTCAGCAGTGTCCTTGTCAATATTTATCACATAATTTAACATCATCAGAACAACTAATCTGGTCATTTACCACACTGTTTTTTGTGGGCATTGCTGTGTACAATCCAGCTGCAGTCTTGCCCTACATTACTATAGTAATAGCACTTAATTGGCTGTAAAAGTGCTATGAGACACAGAGTTGTGAAAGATGCTATACTGCATGTTAATTATTTTCCAGCATTTGCCGTCACTTCAGTTTTTATTAATTACTTTCTTCTTACTCACAAGCAAACTTTCTTGCTCATAAACATATGCACCCAAGAAGTACCAACTGTCAGGAACACACAGAAAATCCTGTATCTGCCAATATTGCCAAGTGCAAATTTAAAACTAGGAAGCAGAAGTTTACAGCAGCATTAAGTGGAAAGAAAGTAAACCAATTCATGGCTGTGACAGTTGACATCTCCTTTAAGGGATTTTACCTTTAAAGGGAAACGATCTTCATGAAAAATGAACTTGCAAACCTATTTTCTACTATTAGAGAAGCAATGAGGCAAGATTCGCCATTATAACTTTGATCCTAACATGCATTGTGCTAAAGTATTTGCAAACAAATTTTGAAAAAGGGCAGCACAGATACTTTTTAATGAAAATAGTTGCATTTTTAAAAAGCATGAAGACTCAGACTGCAATTATTGGAGAAAGATATTAACTGGCTGGATCAGCGGATTAATTGCAATAACGTTTCATATTTAGCAATAGTATATATTTCATTTGTCACTGCCTTATTGCTTTCATTCGCTTATCCCTTTTTATACCATGTATTAATCATCCCTGTTATGCAAGTTAAACTGTATTCTTATGGAAAAGAAACAAGAAAAACAATGTCCTATATAATGCACAATAATTGGAATCATGAGCTTGCTTAGACTAGATAACCTTTTAAAAATATACATATGACATTCTAATAGGATTCACCCACTCTTGACATTAAAAAAGGAATAAAATTGTTCTCTAGTATCTTGTTGAAATTGAGTTATTTTTGCAACAATGATTGATCTTGATGTACTTCCGATACATATCCTCGCAAAATGCTTAACATCAATAATTACACTGTATAGATGTAGTCTAGATTCAGAACACCACATTTCTAAATTCACAGGAAACAGCCTCAATTACATTATATTTCGGGGGAAGATTTGCCGTTTAATGTATTAAGATTTTAAACTATAATTTATGAACGGAAGATTAAATATACACGAAAAAAAATCAACTGAAGTGCGCTGCTCGTACTTGGACATTACAGCGTATTTAAAACGTTAATAAATAGTCAGCAATTAACAATCAATAAGCAATGATTATTTAATCAGTTAGATGTTATTTGCGGTTGAAGCAAACTAAACAAAATACACTGCGTAATTCTGTGATCGAACTAAAGCCAAAATTATACAAACTCTCGAACGGCTTCGACCATTGTACATCGACCACAAGGAAATGAAAACGCTTTTGCTGCCGCCATCAAATATATATTATAAATATGCACAGGTTTCACTCCACATCGGTGGGAATAATTTAAACATAAATAGTATCAAAACACTGAATGTTATCAAGTAACCTGAAGAATCACAGGATGAAATATAATAATAACCATTTAAGAGAGATCGAGGCAACTTTCAAAGTTTAAAAATACTACAGCCTGTTTTAATGTTGCTTTTGAAAAACTGGAAAAGGCAAAGTGGAATATTTCATCCGGATGTATCAACATCTGCTGTAGACACCGAGTGCTAAAATTTCTTTTCCTCACCTGGAGTTAGATGAGTTGTTGAGGTCGCCGTGCGAATGAAATTCAAGCCACCGCTTTACTCCCTGCTGGTCACAGGCGAAGTGCGTGTTGCCCGGACTTCAACTTACCAACATTGTCCGATTCCAAACGTTGCAGAGAAATCAGAGCAGGCGTCTCCGTCGCTTCAGCAACCGGAGAGTGCATTTGAGATGGCTTAATGTTACCTGGGCTGGAGAAAGAGAGGGTAGAGACTGACAGCTCCGCCTGGCTGGGGGCCAGAGGCAGAGTCTCTGACTGTTTATATATATAAAGACTGATTCATTCAGAGACAAGAAAGAGAGTGGGAGAGTACCGCCTGCCAAAGGCACAACCGCCACTCCGGCTTCTCCAGGCGGGAAGAAAATACAATCAACAGGGGAGAGAAAAAGCTTAAAGTAAACAACAGTCGGGGACAGGGCAATGACAAAAAAAAGACTTTCAATGCGGACTTTTCTTCCCCCGAATCACAAGACAAAATAATGCAGATAAGAAACAATGCAGATCCAAATAGAATTTGCAAAACCAAATGAGGAAGCATTTTACAATATGAAATATGAATCCATCCAAGCTCTCGGCGGATTTTTAAAATCCTAGGGCAAGTTTGCAAAATAGAAGCAAACAGGCTACATTGGCGTTTACGCAGCATTATTTATCTATAATGTCTTCAAGTGCTTCACAAAATGGGTTTCTTTCGAATTGCAGCGACTATTCTAATATAGACAAATGGAGGGCAAGCATGTGTCGAAAAACTCGGAGAGCGGAAATATGTTAATAACTTATCGATGTATTTTAGTGCAGTTGGTTATGATTGTGGTTGGAGATGAATATTGGACGGGATTTCTCTTAGTCAATCATGTCAATAAATCTAAAACTTACATTAAAATAGAACAATAAGGACCTCGGTGAAATGGTTCATCTAAAGTACTGTCACCTCGACAAGTTAGCACCACCTCAACAGTTAGTCTCGCTAATAGACAAATCTTGGTCAGCAACTTAGTAAAGCAAACACAAATGTACAGATCGAGAAAAGTTGAAATTTTAAGATAGCAACACAAAACTCTCCAGAATAACGTGCAAACGAAGACTGTAAGACAAATGTCAGGAAAATAAATACATATTGGTCTTGTATAAAGTGCACACTTCAGACCAGCGTGACATTTAGCTCCGAGGAAGTCATTTTAGACTCGAAACGTAAACTCTCCACAAATGCTGTCAGACGTGCTGACTTTCTCCAGCACTTTCTGTTATTTCATATTTTCCAGCATCCGCAATATTTTGCTTTTATGTTAGCTGTCTTTACATGTATCGAAACTACCTGTCACGATGTAAATTTTTCAAATTTCCATACTTTATGGCTGCCATTTTTTTTACCTGGCCTCCTAACTCAGTACAAAGGCCTCCTGGTTTGCTGTGGGCCACAATTCAACAATGTCCCCTCCTCTAATAGGAAAGTTTCATAGTTTCTTTTGTCGTTTGTACAACAATGCATTTATTGACCAAGCCCCTCAAACTGCCCCAAGAAAATGGTGGTTCTTCCGACTACTACTAGTTCTAGTTGCAACGAATTCCCACATGATGTTAGGCTGGGGATTCCATGATTTGGATCTAATAGTGATAAAGGAAGTAACATACATTCAAATCTTTAGCTAACAACATTTGGACTGGATAAAAAAATGTGTTGATCGGAAGTGAGCACTCTGAGCAAGACTTATATGTAGATAATATGATGAGTGGCTTAAAAATAAATTTATAGAGATAGCCATTCTAAGTTATTATACTTCTCTGGGTGAGAAAACTCATGGGCCATCGAAATAAACCGGGTAATTTACTGAAATTCATACAAGAGGCACAATCTGCAGCGCCAAATTATTCATACAAATGTTTAAATAATATCCTTTCGTCATAATATCATGGCTTGTGCGCTAAGATATATTTCGCTCTGGAAATTTAGATTTTCTTCTTTGTTAAAGTTAATTTTTCATCTCATTTGATAGCATTATAATTTGGCATGAATTAGATTTTTTTAAAATCAGGCTAAACAAATATTAAGGATACATTACTGTGCAAATATTGAGGATACTTTGTTGTAAATGTATAATTGTGAAGCCAAATGTGACTATGTAAAATAGCGAATTTTGAGTCACTGTCTCTGAACCTCTGTTGAGCAGGAAAATAACAGATACTGCAGCATGTTATTGTATTCGATCAATTTGCTATGACCACTTTTCTTCATACCCTACCTTTGCTGAAGGAACCTCATTCCCAAATATGAAAATCTTCTCAGAAAACCGTTGAGCCCTCACACCCGCCAATCATTACAAACTACATCTCCCAGAATGCAGCAGCAGCCGCTTCCGTTCGTTATACCCAGATTCCATTGGTGGATATCGTTGTCAATCAAAGCGGAAATCCATGCATTTCCGGTTATCTGGCTGTTTTCAGATCCCTTCTCTTGAGTTGACGGTTCTCAGGAACTTGAACATCGTTATAGAGTTAGACAGTAGCGTGGATGCTTCGGTCTAGTCCAACCAAACGGGACAAAGTGAAGGAGCCGCACAGGCCGAGGACGGAGTGAAGGGGCCTCGTTGCGCCCAGGCCCAGGCCGAGGACGGTGTGAGGGGGAGCCTTGTTGCGGACAGGCCGAGGACGGTGTGAGGAGGGGGCCCCGTTGTGGATAGGCCGCGGTGATGAATTTCTCCGAACTGTTCAAACAGTCGAATCAACTGTGCAGGCTGTCGCCTGACGGGAAATATTCTGTAAGTGTGTGGTTAAATCCTAATAGACTAGATAGGGTAAACGCAGGAGAGATGTTCCCGATGACCGGGGAGTGTAGCCTAACGGTAGGCCACTTCGGACCGAAATGAGAAACTTCTTTATCCGGAGACTGGTGAACCTGTGGAATTCTCTATCATAGAAAGCATTTGTAGAGCCGTACAGCAAAGAAACAGACCCTTCGGTCCAATCCGTCCACGCTGAGTTTCCCAACATAAATTAATCCCATTTGCCTTATATCCCACTAAAGCTTTTCTATTCGTGTATCGACCCAAATGTCTTTTAAATGTTCTAACTGTACTTGCATCTACCACTTCCTCTGGTAGTTCATTCCACATACCAACCACCCTCTGTGTGGAAACAGTTCCCTTTTTTAAATCTTTTTCCGCCCACTTTTAAAATATGCCCCCTAGCTTTGAACTCCCCCACCCTAGGGAAAAGAGCTTTCCTATTTGCCTTATCTATGCCCCCTCATGATTTTATAAACCTCTATAATGTTTGAGTGAAAAAAGTCCTAGCCTTTCTTTATACCTCAAACCAGTCAGTCCTGGTAACATCCTGGTAAATCTTTTGTAAACCCTCTCCAATTTTATAATTCTAGTCTATAGCAGGGTGACCAGAACTATACACTACTCCAAAAGTGCCCTTAACCAACTTCCTGTACAACCTTAACATGACATCCCAACTCCCATACTCAATTGTCTGAGCAATGAAGGTAAGTGGGCTAAAAGCTGTCTTGACTACCCGGTCTACCTGTGATGCAATTTCCAAAGAACTATATACCTGAACCCCTAGGTCTCTCTGTTCAACAGTGCTATCCAGGGCCTTGCCAATAACTGTGTAAGTCCTGCCCTTGTTTATCTTACCAAAGCACAATAACCTCTCATTTATCCAAATTAAACTCTATTTGCCCATCAGCCCACTGGTCCAACTGAAGACTGAGTTAGATATAGTTTGGGGCTAAAGGGATCAAAGGCTATGGGGAGAAAGCAGGAGCAGGGTACTGAGTTGGATAACTGTGTTGAATGGCAGAGCAGGCTCGAAGGGCTGAATGGTCAATTTCTGTGCCTATTTTCCATGTTTCCATCAAGTCAGTAACTAGTTGTTGATAGCCGACCACTCTGCTTCCCTTTTTAGCTGGCACTAATAATGAGGTTGTAGACTTGCTTGCTGAGCCAGTGTGTTTAATTGCTGACATTTCATCACCCTGCTAGGTAACATTGTCAGTGTGCCTCCAGTGAAGCATTGGTGTTCTGGCCTGCTTGTTATTTATAAGCCTTGGTTTGCTGGGGTGATTAACATCCCTTCTGGTTCTGTTTTTCAGTAGTTTGTATATCAGGTCCAGTTCAATGTGTTTGTTGATGGAGTTCTAGCTGGAGTGCCAGGCCTCCAGGAATTCCTTGGCATGTCTCTGTTTGGCTTGTGCTATTATGGAGGTGTTGTCCCAGTTGAATTCGTGTCCTCTTTTGTCGGTGTGTTTTGGGACCAGTGAGAATTGGTAGTGTCTCTTGAGAGCTAGTTGGTGTTCATGTATCCTTATTGTCAGATTTCTTCCAGTTTGGCCTATGTAATGTTTCTCACAGTCCTCGCATAGTATTTTGTTTACTACATTAGTTTTATTGGTTGTGGGTATGGGATCCTTTACTTTTGTCTGTAGCTGTCGCGGGGTGGTTGTTAGTTTGTGGGCTACCCTGATACCTAGGGGTCTGAGTAGTCTTGTGGCCATCTCTGATATGTCTCTGATGTATGGTTGGGTGACTAGTGTGTCTGGCTGTGTTATGTCTTGTTGTGATCTGTTGCAGGTAACGGCAGACTGTGCTTTTTGGTTATCCATTCCTTTTTAAAAACTCTCTATAAGTGCTCCTGTAGTGCTTTGTGCAATTCCGGATTGTTGCAGTGTGATGTGATCCGTTTGAATAATGTCCAGATGCAGCTCCATTTATGGGTGTTGGGGTGGTTGCTGATGTAATCAAGTATCTGGTCTGTATGTGTGGTCTTTCCGTATACGCTAGTCTGGAGTTCACAGTTGTTCTTGTGTTCCACCATTACCTCCTAGGAAGGGTTATCATTCTCTTCTATTTTTGTGAATTTTATTCCAGTGAGGATGTTGTTTATGTGCCGGTGGGTTTCTTCTAGTCTTGTGCATTTGATGATCACGAAGGTGTCATCTACGTAGTGGACCCAGAGTTGGGTTGTATAGTGGGGAGCGCTGTCCATTCTAACCTTTGCATTACCACTTCTGCAATCAGTCCTCAATATCAATGTAGATGACATACACAGACTGAGAAACATAGGCCAAACTGAAAGAAAACTGAAATTAAGGATACACAAACACCAACTAGCCACCAAGAGACGTGACCAATTCTCACTGGTCTCAATACACACAGACAAAGATGGACACAAATTCTACTGGGACAACACATCCATAATAGCACAAGCCAGACAGAGACCTGCTTGGGAATTCCTGGAGGCCTGGCATTCCAACTGGAACTCCATCAACAAACACTTTGAACTGGACCCGATATACAAACCACTGAAAAACACAACTGGAAGTAATGCCAACCACTCCAGCAAACTGAGGTATATAAATATCAACAAGCTAGACAGAACACCAATGCTTCATCAGAGGCACACTGACAATGTTACCCAGCAGGGTAAAATGCCAGAGAAATCCGGCTTTGAATGCATAGGGGAAAGTACAAAATATCAAATTGAAGAGCAAGAGTAGGTCATCTGACTGTTTTGATCTCGAAGTTGAATCCAGAAGACAGTAAAGAGCACCTAATTTGCTGATTAGGCATTTTGAAATTATCTGGACTCAACATTGACTGAGTTCAATAATTTGAGACCATTAATTTTGTCCTCCATTTTATTATGTTTCTCCCAACCCAGTGGCAATCTTTTATGACATTGCTTTCGGTCAGAGCTGACCTTTATTCTGCTATTAACCAGGCACAGAAAACACAGACCCCAGTGCTGCTCCTATTCTGGGACTCTGATCTGAGCACACTAAAGCCCTGGGCACCAGTTATTGGCCTTGATATTAACATCTATTCCAGACCTATGCTTTGCTCTCTCTTTTGATTTCTCAACTCCATTATTCTCTAACCCTTTTGTGACCTATACCTTCCGTTTCACTTGCTCGCTCTCTCCCCACTGCACCCCCCCCCGCCGTCCTTTTCAACAGTATAAAGTCTGTCACATTTCCACTTCTTTTCAGTTCTGAAGAAAAATTGAAATGGATTTTAAATGTTAAGTCTGCTTCTCTTTCCACAGATGCTGCCAGACCTCCTGAGTTTCTCCTGCACTTTATTTATTTTAACATGGGTTTTTTTTTAAATGTTATCTCATTGAAGTCTGTGAAACCTTACATAACATTGATACCAAGAAGCATATGGAACAGTAAACCTTGGAATGCACGTCCACAGATCACCCGAAAGTGGCTGCACAGGTAGTTAAGGTGATCAAAAAGGCATGGTGGGTGCCTGCCTTTCTTAGCAGAGGAATAGAATAGGAAATCAGATAAGACCCAGCATATCCTATTTATAAATTGATAGTTAGGACACAGCTGTAGTATTACATGCAGTTTGGTCACCACGCCACATCTAGTCCTCTCTAGTATATGAGAGTTTTGTGGGGATGTTGCCTGAACTGGAGAATTTGATGACAAAAGATTGGATGGGCTAAGGTTGTTTTATTTTTCAAACCATGGAGGCAGAAGGGAAACATGAATGAAGTGCATAAAGTATGAGGGATCTAGATTGTGGGGAGGAAGGACTTATTCCACTTGGTTGAGAGGTTCATACCAAAAGCATAAATTTAGGATAAGAGATTTAGAGGGTTTTCAACTGGGCATTTTACCCCCAGACGTTGGTGGGGCTCTGGAACTTATTTCCTGGAAGGCTGGTAGAGGCAGGAATCTCAAAGATTTAAGAAGTACTCGGGCAAGTGCATAAGTGTTACAACGTTTTCCCGCGCAGTCCACAATCCGAAATACAGCATAATAAAAATCTTTGCAATAGCAAATGATGTATTATTCAGGAAACTGAATTCATTCCCCTTTTTAGTTTATTTTTCTGCTTTCCACATTTAAATTGATGGATATAGTTTCACTGCCGGATGCTACCACCAACCAATCCAGAAAATCTGCCAGGTATAAAGCATGAGAATGACTGAAGGGACGTAGACTTCTGTAATACTGATTCAGCTTATTGCTGTATGTCAATAGAAACATTTAGGTTTGTATCATCTTTCTTTGAGATACTGACAGACTTTTGATAATGAGGACAACTGTTTGCGAAAATCAATATTTGCAAATAGTCATCTAGAAGCAAGTTTTGTTGTGGGATTTGCTGCATAACTTTAAATAACACTTTTTTTAAATAAGAAGTTGAAGATCACACCTGTAAGTTTAAAAATAAGTTTTTTCTAGTATTTCTTTTAATTTGATGAAGAAAAGTTATTGTGTCATTGTCTGAAGGTAGGACTTGTGTATGGATCAGTGATTATGCAAGCACAATGTACTTCCGTAGAATTTCATCTTATTGTGAAGTCTTAGTGTGGAAATGAACTTTGCGGGATTA